CAAGAGGGTGGCATGTCCACAATTTTAATTTTCTGATCGGTCCAAACATCAAAATGCCACAACTTGGTGGCAAGGGGCACCTATGTTTGTACATATCAGAAAGATCCATCCAGTACTTCATAAAAAACAGCATTACAAGAATTGTTTACAATGATGGACTCGCCACAAACCACAGAGTAGGGCGATTTGAAACACCAACTATCCTCAGATGGTGGGCTTAAAATTTCATGTTTCATTTCAATTAATAAATTCAACCTAAATCAATCATGAGGGTTCTTTCAAGGAAAGTAATGTGGATGGGTGTTTAAATCAACATTCCATAAAAAAAGGCTGAGAAAAAATTGTAACTTCCTGTAGTGCACTTGTATCTGACCACAGCAATAACTGTTCTGTACCTAATGCGTCAATATTAATTTTGTGATGTGACTAATGATGGAAAAAACAAACACAGCTCACATTCCTGGTATTTTCATTGCTTCAGAACTTAAAAAGAAGAAACATGATCATGGGAAAAAGCAATTCTCTGTGATTGGAACAATCATATATCTGACTTTGCACTGAAGTTAGTAGTAAAGAATGCAGTAGAATAAAATGGCACACTTCAAGTTTGAGGGACAGTATTAATTAATAATGGAATAATGATGTGCAATTTTACCTAAATATATATCATATTTTTATTTTGTAGGATAAAGATAAAAATCTGGCAGAATGTCATTCCATACTAAACTTAACTGTGTTACTAATATGCTAATTTACCCCCCCCCACCTAACAGTTTTGGCTTGAAGGCATTTCTAACAAGAAATATGGGTGGAGGCGTTTTGATTATAATAACTCCAAAGTTGAATGTGTTAAGACAGTAATTTTCCAGTGTTTACTCTGGTTTTCATAGTGTAATACACTTGGGTGGTGTTTCTTACTACTCGTTTGTGACTATGAAGACAATTTATAAGGACATAACAATACGAAATTAAGTTAATGTGTTAACAATACAGCAACAGGTCTGGAGAGTAGACTAAGCAGGGTCCTAACAGCACAAATATGTAACAACAGCTTTTCTGAAATTACGAAGAAAACCCAACATATTAAAAACGTTAACATGATCTATTAAATATTACTAAGAATATATCTTATATATATATATAGCCAACACACACCTTGGTTACTCAACTTCACACCAACATTGTATAAATGTTATCTAAATTCACATAGTGCCTCTCTAAAAATAGAAATATATCAGTTTTGATTAATGAGGTCAATGCAAAAAACGATCATGTTAAATTCATCAAAGACATCACTCCCAACAATCTGACATGGGGTTGTTAGGATAATCCTACCACAATAATAGTGTATGGCATGTGTTAATACAGCAGAATTCACATTTCAAAAGAACCGAGATACATCCTATAGGGATCAAACAGTCCAGAATTGTTTACGATACTAAATAACATCAAACAGTTGTTGCTTATATATTTATCATCACTATATAGTATGACTGCCAGAAACTGGATATACAACATTACACTAACTAGGTATTTTTCTAGATTTAACATGCAATATAGAAATATAGTGATTAAATTTGCCAAAATAAACTTTTTTAAAATAAGGTATAATAAACAAAGCATTTTCTTTATGTCTTGTATCATATCTATGGATTTGCATGCCTCCAATGCTTGTTTTCCTCTTTTGAGACTCAGTATGGAAATTGAAAAGCACCAAATGAAGTATATGGTGCAAGTAGACGATTGAGCAAGAAAAGTAGGGCCCGACAATATAAGAGAAAATAACACAGGCAATAACAAGTGGAATGCTAGGAGTATAACATAAATAGTTATCTATACAGAATAGTGGAGGATTAGCAGGATTATAACACAGGCCATACATGTACCTATGGTACACTTCTCCGAGGAAAACACAAACATTTAACATCTATATATCTACATTCCTGCTGATGCTGAGGATACATATTGGTTTGAAATCTGGTGTAAATCTGATCGTAAACAATATTGTAAAAATGTTTAATCTTCCATGAACTACATGTGGATCTAATATCACTAGAATTTAACAAGCTCTAGCAAGGTTTAAAAACCAACCATACACAATTACTGCAGAAAGAGATGGATACAGACAACTTAATTGGGTAAGTGTTCACTTTCATTTCAAAAATGTTATATATACGTGGTGTAGGATTGTAAGGCCAAGTTCAAATACTGCTAGGATACAAATGCAAAATAGGAAAAAAAAACCCTAAAAAACCCAAAAAACAAAACTATAATACAACACAAACTACAAACTAATACCTACTTCACACTACATCACGCAAGACTACAAAACTCAAATTTCCTGAAAGCTGTGAAAATGAAGCTGCCTAATAGGATGTAGTAGGCCTGGGCTGTTCATAGTGCTGTTAACTTTAGACAGGTATTGACTCAAATTTTCAAATTAAATTGTGCACGTGATTTAAATTTCCTTCTTGTGTTAGGTCACAGAATTCCAATGTATGCAGAGAAAAGACAACCAATATTAGAAAACTGTTCACTTCTGGTTTCAATGAATATGAAAATATTTTCTATTGATAAATTGGTGTGTTCTAGAGTTACACAGCACTTAAAAACAACTAGGCTTTTGCCTTGAAGTAGAACAGTAGAGACATATATTATGGAAGAACGATTCTAGTTGTGAAAACCGTCACTCACAAAGGCATGATTACATAAAAATACTTCAATGTAATATATAAAATTTTTGTATTTAAACTTGCGATTATTTCAACATTTCAAAAATGTTTTACACAATAATCTGACAAGGTATTACATATACAGTACAAAGTGGAATATCAGCCATTTTTGAAAATATATTTAACAAACCTCAGACTCTGTTACGACTGAAGAAGTCAACAATGAAAGGTATCGCAGTTGTTAATGTATTCTGTAGAATTTGATTTTAAAATCACCCAAATAAGAAAAACTACATTATAAGATTTATTGGTGAATCATTGAGATATTGCACAGGTGTGGATGAAAAACAAATTCCAAATCAAATGCTCTAAAGAGAATTGGGATGCTGAATAATCTAAGTAAAAACAATGTATAGATGTATAAAATAGTGTTTTAATCACAACCTCTACCACATTCATCTACAGAACCAATTTGACTAGTTTTTAAACTAATATGCAGAGAAAACTCTTCCAAATATATCTTCTGATTACAAATTTGTAAATTCTAAACTCAATTTGAAGATTATAGTGGTAGGCGAAAAGGACCTCAATTTTTTTAAACAATTTTCTATATAGTGACCACTCTATGGCAAGTTCTTGTTTAACACCAAATATTTCAATAATTACAGCTATTCATCATGAAAACAATATTTAATTTTTCAACAGAAATTTTCATCCAAATTTCAAGAATTGTTTAAAGTTAAATCTGGAAAATGACCTACATATAACTCATTCGCATTAACATTTAATTTTCAAAGCTAATTTGCAACATTTGCATCCAGATACATACATGGTTGTGTCCCTTTCGTGATCTAATCGGTCAAAACTGATCAGAAAAATTTGCATATGTCAACAATAATATTTCCCAAGCATATAATTACAAATACATTGATGTTCAATCTGTGAATACGACTGAACACAGAATTGATTACATGGTTTGGCCAAAGTGGCAAGATAATACATTAAATATTTCAATAATAAATAAGCTGTGTTTCTGTAAATGGTCACTAACTGTTGTTAACAACAACCTGTACTAAATAAATGCACCAGTGTTGTAAAAATAAATGGCAAAATAAAAATTCTACAATTTTATAATGAAATATTTACAATTACCGGTAAATTTGTTAATTGAAAATTATAAACAAAAGACAAAATAACACTATCCATCCAACAACCTGTTATTTTCAAATATTTTCATCACATTTTCACAAAAAAAGGAGAAAAAGAAACTACCTATTCAAAATCCTACCAACACCTCCAATACAAAATGGTTTTTACCTGAACTATTTACTTATTGAAGATAAAATATTAGAGACAAGTTATGAATCACCCGTACTTTAAGTATGAAAACTACATCAAATGTCGGTTGAAAAAGGTTGGTAGAAAAAAAAGTGATTTTGACAAATAAAAGAGGATATGTGGTACTCTACCAATGTGTCATCTGACAACTGCATTTTTTAAATTTAAATCTTTATTACCAAGACAATAAAAACTATACATGTATAAATCTGCATCTATTTTTAACAGAATCTCACAATAGCAAAATTTTACCTTTAAAAGTACAATAATCGTCACATACAAATGTATCTACACCTACATCTTTATCCTCATTCCCTCCCCCCCCCCCCCCCCACAAAAAAAAAAAACAAAAAAAAAAAAAATCGAAAAGGACAAGTATATTAAAGATCCATCTCTTGTGTTTTGCCATGACAATACAAAATGGAAACAATTAACAACTAGTGATGATATAAAACAACATTAACATGATCGTGAAATACAACTATTAATTTCAACAGTTTACCAAACAAAAAACCTTCTCAATCTTTTGAGCATCAACAATCCTCGTATATATCATACATTGAACCGATACAACATGCAAGTTCAGTATTATGACGCATTCAAGACCTAGCGTCAGCAGTAAAAATATGTCTTCATTTGGTTACACAGTGAATCACATTTCAAATTTACATGGTGAATGAATAATCATAAAAGGCACCTCTAGTGCATCCAATTTGCAGATCTGTTACAATATATATGATTTATGTCTAGATGTTCTAACATAGTATAACACTCACCTTTTATACAGTGTTGGCTCCTATATTAAAATATTTCATTGTTCCACATCAACATTTCTGTACTAAAATATACCAAAAACTGATTTAAAGGTATCAGGTGAGCCATCTAGTCTTCACCACATTTAATTATATAGATACGTTCACCTTCAAAAAGTCAAAAAAAAAAAAAAAAAAACAAACAAAAAAACAAAAAAAAAAAAAAAAAAACCTCCTGCATCATTTTGCTTAAAGAATATTTGTCAACATGAATGCATCCTACAGATCATCCTGGATTATTTGGATAGCACTTTAAACATTTCTGTAAAGAAAAATTCCTACAAACAATAATGATGTATTCTAGCTGTCCAGGGGAATAGAAGACACTAGCATACATTTGGATCTTAATGTATTTTGATCCTTGTGTGATTATGAGTAGAGTGTTACCTACAAAACACCCTAAACAGTGATGCTAGGTGCTTTCTATGATTGGATGAAACTTGCATCAGTGGTAACCCAGCGTATGGCTATTTTTCAATCAAGTAACCTGCCGTTTGGGACAGTTGTTTAGCAGGCATATCGTTGGACAAAGCTGAAGTATTTAGAACTAGTTAGATTCCTGATGATGTTATTCATGTCCTTTGTAATTCAATTTTAGATAAATTTTCAATTCTCTCTGCCATGAAAGAAACATCAAACTTACAAATATTCCAAATACAAGAAATAAGTTTCAAATTAACTCACTTAAAAAAGACAAGTGGCTTGAATTACACTCATTGATATTCTCTGATACTTTTTAAGATTTATTTCATTGGGTTTTTTTTATTAATTTGATATTTCATTACTCAATGTTACTCGATTTTGAAATGAAATTAACCCTACAAATTTGCTTGGCAGATTTTAAAGTCTCCCCTGTTGAGAAACAGGTTAACAAACTCTGCCAGCTGTCAATGAATAAATATTAAAATATCTCCAAATGCCCTACTTTTTCAAACAATAAATGTAACGTCTTATGCTTCATTCAAGAGATAGCATTTCTTTAGCTTGAAGTCACTTTACAATGTTCCTGGAAAAACACTCCAGTATTTTTTATTTAACAATTATCTTTATAGTTCTTTCTCAAATGTTTCTGCAATAAAGTAACTAAAGTTCTGTCTAGATATGGTGTCTTTGTGGTTAACTCTTCTTCTATTTTAAAAATAACTTGAACACCTCAGTCTTCGTCCTCGCTGAGGTACCGATTGGAGATCATTTTTATGATGGCCTTCATCATTGCTGCAGCAGCCAGGGAGGCATACGGCCCCCACTCCTTGTTCCTCGTTCCGTCGCCGTAGTCTGCTACACCCCTGATAATCATGAAGCTGTCCTTCCTATTACCTACAATGGATTCTAACACTTGATCAAATTCAGTGTCAAAACACATTATACCATGACGATTAGCAAAGTCCAGCCTCATTTGCTCTGATCTGTTGAAACGACCAGAACCTAATGGGCTGTAATGGATGGTGGGCGTCCCCTGGTGGTTATTTATGTCACTCTCAGGTGCCTCTGGATGTTGTACTTCGATCACATTATCATCCCCAATGCCCATGTAGAGTCGATCACTCTCTGGAGGGGGACGGTTGAAGTCGGCCTCCTGGTTCTTGAGTATTTCCAATCCCTCAGTGATGTATCTGTCCCAGGGGGTTTTTCCTGGATTCTTTCGTGACCTGTCCTGCAGCTTCTCTACAACACGCTGCAGATCCATCTCCCTTGGGCCATAAGTCTTCATCTTGAACTGAATGTCACCTTCCTTGTTGCGTAAGACTTTCTCGCAGTAATAGTAGATGTAGCCCTTTTCATCACAGGAAGAGATGACAATGTCGCCCAGACGCACATGTTTAAAGTAATCTGTGTAGTGTGGTACTCCACCCGCGATACCCACTACAAATACATGCTCAATGTTCTGGAATGTCCCTGTAACACAACAATTACAGCACATTATACTACCTACAACACCTTTTGCTGTGAAATAAATATCAAAGGAAGATCTCAGGATGAACTCACATAAAAGGTCACTGCAATTACAAGGTTTTTTTGGCTTATTACATTGACAGTTGAACCTGACATGTGAAAGGAAAAAAAACTTTTCTTTCAGATTCAGAATTATACATACATGCATACTTCTGAAAATATTTGGGAATGGAAATAAATAGGAAATGCAAAATATCACTACAGCAAAATGTATGTGAATATAAAATATAGGAGTTTCTAATACAATGTGTACTATTTAATCTAAGTGGTACGGCTTATCAATATTTATCTTGAAGCCTGTCAAGACAATATAAATCAAAAGAAGAATTAATAATTTTCTAAAGTAAGTGTTGGAAGTTTTCAGATTAAAATATTAACATTGAAAGTATTTTTAAGATGGTCAAGGAGAATGGAAAACATACCCAGTAGTCTGGTGGTTGTGTTTCCCGAAGAGATCTGGGCTGCCCGGGCATGTCCGATGGCTGGAAGTTTGGTGGATACAACACGATGTTCTCCGATATAGCCCATTGTGTACACATTAGATTCACCTGTTTAAGAAATCGTTTGGATAAGAGTTGTGTTCATACTGCTTTAAGACTTACTGATGTATATGAAGCAATACAGGATAATTTAATAATGACCCTGATATCATCAGCAAAATACCTAAAATATCCTTCTCATTACACTGTAATATTATTTCAATTCTTTGATGAATAATGTATTGACCTACAGAGCCCAGACTATATTCATTGGCTACAGAGCTACCAAATACAGGCATTAAGTATGGATCAAAGTGATTGTGTCCTCCTGCTAATAGGCAAGGGGCCCAAACACAATACCTTTACACTAAACTTGAAAGGTTAGCTTATTAAAGGACAGAAAAATAGTTTATTCTACTGAATCGTAAATGTACACTTACTGATTGGCTCATAACAAGGTATGGGCTAATTATCAGTAAATATACCCCTGTTAGTGAACACTGTATATATTGGTAGTGTGATGATTTAAAACAAAACTGTATCAAAACGAAAGTGCTGACGGCAATCATAGACACTGTGTATGACTTACCTTCTGACTTGAATTTAACAAAAGTGGTTTTGTTCTCCATCATAGCATCGACAGCTAGTTTTTCACCATAATTGGCTGTGATGACGGCTATTGTTGGTTGCAGATTGGCTGCAATGGTTGGCATCTGTTTCACCATCTCGACCGCTAGAAAATTACAAATATAACATACAGTATAGTGGCGAAATATAGTTAAAAGAAGGTTGACCTCTCCAAGGTCATACCGAAATATATATATCATACCGGTTACTAGAGACACAATAAATGTAAACTTGACCACACCGATCATCTAACTATAACAGAGCTGCACAACGTTCCCCATTACCTCCAGATGTAGGAACAAAACCCCCCCAAATTGATGTAATTCAATACCTAACCCCCATGTTTTCAAGCACTCGTCTATATAAATACATTGTTATGGGTACACTGTACCCCCAGTTTCAAAAGGCAAGGGAGAACAGAGTAAGCGTTATATAGAATCATTACATCATGTCATCAGGTGGCATTCATACCATGATGAATCACATGTTTGCAATTAGTAAGTGTTAAATGTAAAAATATAAAGTAAACTCAGATCTTATGAAAAAGAACAATGGAAGAATTGAATTCATTGTCTGATGCTTCAAAACATGCGATGTTAATGAAAGACTAAATCAAGAGGTGAAATGGGCCTGACTGATAAACAAATCTGAAGAAAATCTGAAGACTTGTATCTATAGTGGCAATCCTACATTTCAAACCCGACTAGGTCAGGAAAGGGTCATTACAAGTATCAAATGTGGTTTTAATCATGTCAGACATAAATCCTTTCTAAAACCTGGATGTTAAAACTTGTAGAATGGCATTATACATTTCGAACTAACACTAAAAAAGTTTTGGAATATTCTCATCAGGTTGGTAATGTCAAGAGATTATAAGTTCCTATAAAATACCTAGTAGAAGTTTAGAGTGTGATGTTTCAATGACTACACGGCCACCTTCATCAGACAAATGACAATGTATGTTTTTGATCTGTAATCCATTAACCTTCTCGACCTTAGTGTACATAGGGTTATAGATCAGTCGAAAAAGTTGGTTGATTCCTTACCATCTTGTACACTTTGTACATCAATGCTCCACAGTGGTCATTTGTCTGATAAATGTGACCATGTAGTCATTGAAACTTCACACTCAAATCTTCTACTGGTTGTAGTATAAGAACTTCTGTTCTGCCTAATTCAAATATACATTTGCCTTCAGTTACTCACTTGTCTTGTCGTCCTCCAGCACATGTCGTACTATTTTACCATTCTCCACATCACGTACCAAGTCTCGCTGTTTCAGTTCCGCCAACTGTAGCATCACCATGGCCTCATCAGCCTGAGTCATTCTAATCAAAGTCTTACAAATATTATTACTTTATTTTAGAAGAATCGTATTTCAATTGATATCGTAATTATATTAACAAGAGGCCTAGTGGCTGTACCAGCCACCTGAGATAGACAATATTGATTATGAAGTTAGTAAGTAGCTTTTAAGTGTCATGAAATTGTGACATTTATAACAATAAGCCAGTGTCAATACACACATACCATCAATACTCTTAATCCTATACTTATAATTCTAATAAAGTTATTTCCAGTGGAAAATAAACAATGTTATGCTCAAAAATGTAAAGATAACCTCCTCTGCAGGAAGAAATGTGAGACCCATTTCGGTGATTAAAGCACCCTAAGATGCTTTAATCAATGAAAAGCATTTGATTCTACCATAACTAGAGTGTTGAGAAAAACTTTTGAAATTCAAGTCAAATTTGGCCCCATTCATCAGCCAATGGGGGTCAGTCAGAATCAAAGATGCATGCCATCTAGCCATCATCCCTTGCTCATAATTCTAACCAAGTTAAAAATATTTCCACTGGAAATATGCAAATATGCAAATAAACTATAATAAACTTTACCCCCTCCCCACAGAGAAATTTGAGACCATGGGGCAATGAAATTCATGGTTGTGGTAAAGCACATTAAGATGCTTCCATCCATGAAGAGTATTTGAATCTACCCTATCTGGGTGTTGAGAAGATTTTTGAAATCTGTGTCAATTTGGAATTTGGCCTCGCCCCTCAGGCCCCTGTAGGGTGGGGATAATAAAATTCAATATTTTAATCCATCTTAGGCCAGGAATGGTTTCTACAAAATTGAAATCAGTTTAGAGGTTTTTGAGAAGTCGGAAATGTTAAATTATTTACAGACACATAATGCTTGACGCCAGAGGCGATTGCAATATAATACACAAAAACACTGAAATTAAACATTTATTGATGTATGAAGAAATGACAATGTATCAATTATCCTATGTTAACATGAAATGGAAACAAGAATTGACTAAAGACTTTCAACTTTTAAATGTAAAAAAAAATTATAATAATAGTAAGACTTGAAAATGTTTTTTGTTGCTGTACAAATACCTTGTGTATCAAAAGAATTCTATGGAAAACTTATATCTTAGCTTTGAAATAATATCAATGATTCAAGTTTCATTATATTTGAGTGTACTGAGCTGTAGATTTGAAGAAAAGGTTGGGCAAATAGTTTGGTAAAAAGAATAACTTTCAAAATGAGTCATAAAAGGTAAGAGCAAGGGTTTAAAAAAATCCAAATGAAAATAGTTGTCTTACATCAGGTCTCAATCACTGACAATGCTATGTAATGCAGTGATTGTATCCTTTGGGAATATATGTAACATGTAGAAGTGGAGTATTCACATCATCTTTACTACTAGTCTTGGCTAGTGGGAATTTTCCCTTTGTCCAGCAGTATTTGTGGACTTTTAAGTCTTTGTGGTCTGTCATTACCTGTATGCCAAGTTTCAGTGGCATGGGTCAAAATATACAAATGCACTTGTATCCTTGATATTTCAGGGGTTACGATCACTTTTTGCTCTGCACCCTTGAAATATTTCCTGACAATGTCCATAGTAATTTGATTGGTCTAGAGAATGTTTTAGTAAAAAACTGACCAATCATAGACTAATATACTCCTGTGAAGATTACAAAGGGGAAACACCCAACTTCAAAGCCAGTACAACATACCGTGATGCATCCTCCAGATTCATTTGACGACTTCATGCATTATGATATTTCAAACATGGTTTTTAAATATGTCATGATTGCCTGAATATCTCACCATCTAGGACTTACTTGATCAGGTCATCCACCTCCAATACATTAGGATAGGCTGACTCAAGGATATGAAGCATCTTTTCTCGTAGAATTTCCTCCACTGGTCTTTTATCTTCTCTGTTAAGCCCTGAAAATAGTAATTTCTACCAATAAAACATAAAAAGTTAAAAACCCATTTCCTGCGCTCTAGGTGTGTTTAATTTTTCGATTCTTTCACCAAGAAGTAAACTTAATGTCCACTCTTGTTCTAGTACAAGAATTCAAATACAATAAGGATACTGGTACATACATTTTTTGGTCTTAAATACATTACCCCATAAAATGAAAATTTACTATCATTTATTAGAAATTCACATTAGTTTAATCTGGTCATCCTTAAATGTTAAACAATAAGTCTTAAAATGTTCAATGGGAACCTCCAATACTCCATTTAAGTGACATGTATACCATCAGAAATAAAAATAAGACATATTTCATCATTCTGTCATTTCCTGTAAAACTAAACAAAACAGTCACTTAGAAACATCAAACTTGTGAAAAAGAATAAACTCCATGCAGTGCTACAAACAAGAAAGTATTGTGCCAAACATAACATCATTTACCGATACACAGGTGTACAACATATTTTACAGAGAACCTGAAAATCTACAAATAATATCAGTAGACTTAAAACCGTAATGGTACAGAATTTCTGTATTCTAAAATTTTAAAAAATCCCCATTTTCAATGTTCATACCTATAGTCAATCATCAAACAGGTACAAATTAACTATTGGAAGACTTTTTAAGAGTTACCCTGCACAATCATGTTGTTATTCGTCTGAGTTATTTCCCTTGATGCTTTGAGCACTTTATAGACATCGTCAATATAAGTCCCATTTAAATACTATAAGCAAAATTATTACACGAAAGGAAATCATGACCGCAAACATGACAATTTATAGAACTGCAATGCAGTGTTGACTATAAGCTACCACTTCAATTACATGTTCACACAAGGTCAATTCCAGAACAGAAACTTTTGTATTCCTGTGTTCTAGGTTGGAACTGTAAGGTTGGTTATAAATGAAACAAGGTCATCAAAACCCTATAATCCATTATATGTCAATAAATATAAATCAGGCAAATGAATGTATTTATGCAAAGATTGTACTTGTATAATTATGATAAAACAATTATGCTTGAAATCATCATAAAACAATGTATAAATATGTACATTCCATGCTCGAGTGCATTTTAAAAGATGTACATTTTTATATTTTCAAATTTTCAATAGAATGAAATATACAGTATCATTTAAATCCAAAATACCAGTCACCATTCAATATTAGGATTATAGCAGCCATCACATTTTCCATACATGTTTCTATTTATGAATAATAATGATCAACATTCTGATGAAGTATTGCCTGCATGTCAGGTGTAGGTAATCTCATTGTATTTCACTGAATTTTAATTTTAGGCAGAGATTTTTTTTAAGAACAAGAAAAATCTAAATTGCTTTCATTTTGTGTGATGGCTATATATTCCTGTTGTTCCTCACTGTCATGGGATGGAAGGGAATTACAGATAAAATGAGGATATAGTGAATAGTCACAAAAAGGTTTGGAACCACACAATATTTAAACTCTCTTTCAAATGAGTCAATTATTTATGACAAAACTGATAAATACTCTATGTTTCATTTATATTTTTTAATTGAAATAATCCTGAACAATTTAATGTTCATATGATAATAGGCTTTAGTTATACTACATCTGTATTCTGCAGATTTCACTATATCTTCAAAACAACCGCTCATGTAACATTCAAAAGGGAGTGGAAATATATCACTTATAACATTCATAGTAGTCGTCATATCTCAAACAGTATTCATCCAAAACAGTTTCATAAAGGCATTTTTATTTTTTTTAATCAATTTTCATGTGCATAATGGTAACTTTATTGTCAATGATCTCAACATTTTAAGACAGATCAAAATCATTTCCAATACTTCATTTTAAAATTTTATAACAAATATCTTTTCCAAATGAAATGTAGCATTTACATTGATTGTTGAGATACCACTGTAGAAAACACAACCATCAGATACAATTATCCAGAGAAATATATGTCTAAATCTGTACCACTCACTTACACAGAAGGCCTTGTGATCTGACATAAGGATGCTTCCTTATCAAAGGATATAATTTTAAGATTCTTGTGATCTTGTGATCCTTGTAACCTTCAATCAAGGACAGGTTCTTGTGATCTTGAAGGTGACTTTAGAAATGGCTTTAGATTTTAGTTTGACCTCGAGACAAAACTTTGATCCATGTAATTTGGAAACAAGGTTCACATCCTTGTGACTTATGGGACAAGACCACTGGTATAGAGGTTTGTACAGATATTCAATCCAAGTGCCTGTTAGATATAACACAGTACTTACCAAACATATCCTCAGCATTCCTCCCTGATTAGCATATAATCAATATGTAACAAAACCTTTACAAGTTGGACTAAACATCAGAACATTACACAAATACATGAAAAAATAAATTGATATATTAGGGTAGTTTTAGGGGCCTGCTCCAGATTAGCTATGTAGATTTTAGTGAACAGTGTCACAGCCTGCTATAGATATTTATGATATTCCAACTTGGTGTACATTTTGGGCCTACTTGAAGTCTGTCAAATAAGTGCATAATATATATATATCAGGGCTTATTTTTTTATATTTGATATATATTGCAATTTGGTATATGACTAGGAACAGATATGTAATATCAGTATGCTTCATCAAGGCCTCTAATTAATTAGTTAAATTAGCTTGCAGCATCAACGTCAAAAACATAATTACATTACAGAATGGCAGAAAACCTAAAAATCATCGGTTGTTGTCAACTGTGCTTCATTCAGGATTTTCTAAAATATGGTTTTCAAATTTTAAAACAGGCCAGTACTGAAATGATGAAAATATAACAGATAGCTTCCTGATTGAAATATCCTAATAAATATTTGAGATTTATACATCTAAATAAATGACTAAATGATGGATTCTCAAACAGTGTGTACAAGTACTTCTCACTGAATACAGTAATTTGGATTTTAGTTAGTTTATAGGGTTAAAACATAATCATGAAAAAGACACAAATATTCATGCTATGAACGATATCCAAAATGTCTGTTTTATCGGGGTAACTGGTGAGCTGAAAATACTATGTGTGAAAAATTTGCAATAAAATAATGTTCATCACAAGTTATGAATTTTCAAATTTTTTAGTCTTTTTTTCTTTCGTTCCTGGACATACACAGACAGCTTAACTATGTCTCAGAAACAAAGGCAAAACTTTTGGATGAATTTTTTTTTTTTTCCAATTAGTAATTGTTGATATGCATGGCATGAATCCCCACACTCTCTCATGCAGCAACATATCATTCCTTTACCATTTGTGTTAAAAGCAATAGTGATCTCGAGTTGAAAAAGTGAACTCATCTGAAGCATTTCATTCTAGGTTTTTTACCAAATGTGTATTACTAAATCAAAATCCCTTCAGAATTGATGTTGCAAGGGTGATGACATTGATTGGGGATGAGAGGTACGGTATGACTCTCCTCTCCGTAAATTTACAGATGTATAACCTATATTTAGCCAATGACATTACAACACTAGAAAGAAGTGTTTGTTTGCACAATTATGAAATTTAGGATCATTTGAACCTATTGAAAAGATAAATACTGTTCCTTTATCTCTAAAACAGTAGATTTTTAGTGTTATTAATCTGCAGAGATCCAATAATCCATCAGAATCAAGGTAGAAATAATATTAAAAAGTCTTTGTTTGAAAAGTCTATACTGTACACAATTTTAAGTATTGGTGTTTCATTTATATATTCTTATATTGTGATCAAATGCTATGCTTAAACAAGACTGTTAAATTCAATGAAATGTAAGCTGATTCTTTCATGATTTGAGCTGGTCAATATGCAATGAATATCAAGTTGGCTGAATGAAATCAGGCAAGTTGACGACACCAGATTTTAGTGGGTCGGTGGGAAAATGGGAAACAAAACTTTTGTCCTAAGTTCAAAACAACAAAAAAAAACAATATCCTAGTTAAAGCCACTCATGCATATATGTGGCCAATGTGTAGGAATAAGTTTAAACTCAATCCTCTATAGAAGAAAGTTTATGGTGCATAAGAGCTTTTATATACAATTTATATATATATATAAATATAGAATTACATAATTAATTGGCGATATCAAAATAGGAAATAAAAGTACAACTCTTAAAATTTAACAACAGCCAGAATAATACAACATCCACTTCAAACATAAATTTTCACAGGTACCAAGGGACATAATGTGTAATACAATACCCACTGATGCATGGTATACTGGTTTAAACATACAATGTAAGCAAATCTTAACAGCTCAAATAAACAGCATATATATATATCACTTTATTTGTATCTTTATGAAGACAAATGAAAAGTGATGACCCTTCATAAAAAAATATTGTATAAATAAAGAATGAAAAAGAGAGAAACTCAAACTGGTGACAAGTGCTGGCATGGTTTCAGTAGTGTGAGCAAGCGACGGTAATTGATTCATGACCAAATAAGGATATCACACAATAAACATGGTATGCCTGAGACCTACCTCTCTCCGACAGAATGGTGGAAACAATTCCTTCTGGTGACAAGCACACAATAGTGATCAACTTACACCATCACACATAACAAATTTTAAACAGGTCCTTTTTATATAATTTGATAGATCAGCTTTTTGTAAATCTGATGTTCACAATTGTTTTTGTTGGCAACTGTGTACATGCACAGTACAAATGCATTTTCCAGAATCAATACTACATATTAATGGACACATCACAAATATAGGAGATACTTTCTTTGTTTCTTCAGTGATCAGATGTTCAGATTTACAATGCTGAGTATGAACCCTCCATCCCCGATACTCCAGGGTTACAATTACTTATGCTCTTTACACCCCTGGAACAAGTCATTTCACAAAATTGAACACCTTGCGACACCTTGTGGATGAGACGAAAAGGCTAGCTTGACCCTTTGATGTACATCAAACAAGACTTAAGGTTGCATAACAGTATGTTGTACTGGCTTAGAAGTTGGGTGTAGACCCCTTTGTAATCATCAATGGAGCGTATCAGTTTGTGATTGATCAGTATTTTCTCCTTGAGACCACTCTAGCCAATCAAATTACTTTGCTTGCACATTCAAATTTGCTATGACATGTACCATAGGTGCAGAGAGTGAAAGTAATTGTAACCCCTGGAGTATCAAGAATGTGAATCCTCAATTTAAACTAATTAATTCTGAGATGTGGCAGGTTAGTCATTGTTAAATACTCTGTTATGTACAACACTCACTATACATATACCTAGGTATCTATCCCATGAAATTTGGTTAATCAACTTATGAAAACATGAACAGAAACTTTGGAAAGAGATTTTCAAATTTATCAATTCTGTTAATTACATGTCAACTAGCTGAAAAGTGCCTGGAATACATAAAATTATCAAATGAAAATTAAAAAAAAAAAAAAACATTCCTAAAATTATAAGATGAGTAAAATAGTTCAAGAAACTGAGAATAGAGCAATGTCAGAGGAAAATTATGCTTAAAATGATTTTTGTCATATTCACATTTAATTCAAAATAAAACTTCATGGACATATATATACCATAAAAAGATAAAGAAAACCAAAGTTAATGGAATAGGCCAAAATTTTGTGAGTATCATAAACTGATATATATCTATTGTCACACATCGATATTACAAATACATAAAAATCTTTTATCACTTAATTTCATGAAAACTTAATTTCCACATTAAAAATTCCACTAATTGTACAAATGATCTGAATTTGACATACAAACTTCACATGTCTTTTTCCACATGCCAATGCATATCACATTGTTCGAGACACAAAAGGAGTGACAGTGCTATTCTCTGTCATCAACTTTATGCACATATCAGTTTGCAAAATATCCAAGTTTCACTTTTCAGAACAAGATTTCTTATGAATATATTTAAAATATTTCGCTCATGAAACTAGAGTGCTATTAACATGTATAACAGTTAACATTTAACAGTCAACATTGGCTTTACTGAGAAACCCTGCAGGTTTTTTAATAGCACATCAACATTATGTGTTTTATGTAGGCTTGGATTTTTAAAGCGTTAGCAAGTTCTCTATTTAGCAGTGTTGATGTCAACAATTACACAATTTGAAAAACCTGCAGATTTTCTGTAATCCTGAAGAGAAAGCCAATATTACCACTAATGGAAAAGCCTCTTGGTAATTCTGTCTACACTATAACAATACATTTAGGCTAATAGTTATATGTTGTCATTTTGCAATTAAATGTTTACAAGTACTGTGAACTGGTAACTATGTCAACATGCCAGTATCAAATATTTAGGAAACTCACCTGGACTTAATGGTGCATCTTCTTCGTCCAGAAGCTTAATTTCCAGGTCCACCTTCTGTGCCAATTTGTATTCAGGCTTCTGCATCTGTTTCATACACTTCTTAATGAAACCAACGTAGTCTGAAACCAAATTTAATTAGTATAGTGCTAAAAGGTTCAATCTAGGTTTCTAAGAAAGAACTGGCAATAAGTCTCCAATCATACACTTTGAGGGATGCTATAATTTCTATTTCATGAAGATTTCTGGCTAGAAATGAGTTCCTGAAATTCACCGATGAGTAGCTCTTGATACTGAAAAAAAACCCATCAAAGAACATTAAGTCAAGTCTTTTCCATTGGTTATCATAGACAAAAGTGGTCTGGTGGCGCAGTGGTAATGCACTCGCCTTTCACCTAGCCAATCGGGTTCGATCCCCGGAACGGACGTGAAAAGGTATGTGGTCACCTGCCTGACCATGTGGGTTTTCCCCGGGTACTCCGGGTTCCTCCCACAAATAAGACCCCTAGCGCGCTTACATCCAGGCTAACAAGAGTGATTAGTATAAGTTGACATAACTTGTTTCGTAATTGTTGTAAAATAAATAAAGTTTATATACAAAAGTGTAGCAGTAGCTTGAAAAAAACAGACATAAAAAGGTGTCACATGGGAAGAGTTCATTAATATGTGAACATCATATAAACTAATAGATATCTCTCAATCTGGCTCTTTCTTATATGTTGAACTTGAGTAATAAGACATCTTCTCAGATTCTTGTGTGTGTATGTATATATATTTGAACCTTGGTCACTTAAATCCTTTAAAGGCAACAGGTCATCTGTAATCTGCATCCTTCAAAAAGTAGTGAAAGGTTGACATTATGTTAATATATGATTAATTTACCTCTAGGGAAATTCTCAGGCTTTACTAGTTCTTTGAAGAACTCATAGGCTGTTGTCACCTGGTCCAGATACTCTGTTCCCTCTACATACCAAAACTTCAGACGTCTGGATTCCTAAAAACAACCCGCATAACTTTGTGTAACAACTGAAGTCAACTTGTTGGTTAAATCACAATGTCACAATGGAGATAATTAAAATCTTTAAATGTTTTTCAAGAATGAAAAGAATTTCAGTTTCTAAATTTGCCAAAAATAATTTAAAAAAGGTTAGACATTCTACATCTGAATATAATAAGTTGATTTTAATTTTTTTAAGATCAAAAATAGTTTGACTATCACATTAACACTTTTAAGAGTTATTGTGATTTAAAACAGACCTGTTATGTACTTAAAATGCAAATTGACAAATAAATTCTAACATACAAGTCAATGTTCCCATATTTCATACATTTCAATAAATACTTTGTGGTAGATAAATATACTTTTTAGTTCCCAGTTGATTTATAATGAATCATTCATTTTTTAAAACATGATGATAATCTATCGAAAATTTTGTACCCACCACAAACAACCTAAACATTTTTGTAAGACTTGGATAATGAACGAGTCTAAGAAATTGAAGCTTAAAAAAAAAAGCTGTTTCCTTCCTTTTTCAGAGACTTTTCTCATCAAATGAATGTAAAAAGTCTCAATATCCTTGGATAATCAAATTAATCTTATCAGTGTCTTTATGCGACATGTATCAAGCCAAGAGATATTTTACTCCTATATTGCAGATCTTTGGACAAAGGACCAAAATTTCACCTAAGTAATGACTACAACATATCAGTAGACAGGTCTTTATTGGTAGCCTGCAATTCTGTTATACCTGCAAGTTTTAATCAGTCTACAATAAACTACATACCACCATCCTGTGCTGCGTTTTTTGGTCGACGAGGAAACAATTAAACCCAATTTGTAACTGGGGACGTACAAGATCCATGTCATCATCTGAAACACAGTTAAAATCATTAATGTAAAATCTACAGTGATACTAAAGGTAAACCTTGAAAGACAATATCTATAACAACAATATATAGAGTAGACAGACTAGAAAAACACCAGGGAAGGCACAAGATATAAAGTTGGTCAGGTTTTGGTGAGGAAACACATTTTTTGTCCTAGATCTCTTCAGATTCACAATGTGGTGTAATTGATAATCTATGATGAACCAAAGAAGTTCAGAGCTAAATTTCTGTGGGTCAAACCCTGTTATTCCTGGAGTTACTCATATTTCTGCATATGAAATAATGAAATTGAGAGTGAAAGAAGAAAAGAACCAAAAAACCCTAAACAAGCTGAGGCATGGAAGTTAACCAAAGTGAAGCATGAACAGTTAACCATGATGACATATGAACAGTTAACCAAGGTGACATATGGACAATTAACTAAGGTGACACATGAAAAGTTAACTGAGGTGACATATGGACAGTTAACCGAGGTGACATATGGACAATTAACTAAGGTGACACATGAAAAGTTAACTGAGGTGACACATGGACAGTTAACTGAGGTGACATATGGACAGTTAACCAAGATGACATATGAACAGTTAACCAAAGTGAAGCATGAACAGTTAACCAAGATGACATATGAACAGTTAACCAAAGTGAAGCATGAACAGTTAACCAAGATGACATATGAACAGTTAACCAAAGTGAAGCATGAACAGTTAACCAAGATGACATATGAACAGTTAACCATGATGACATATGGACAGTTAACCAAGGTGACATATGGACAGTTAACTAAGGTGACATATGAACAGTTAACCAAGGTGACATATGGACAATTAACTAAGGTGACACATGAAAAGTTAACTGAGGTGACACATGGACAGTTAACTGAGGTGACATATGGACAATTAACTAAGGTGACACATGAAAAGTTAACTGAGGTGACACATGGACAGTTAACTGAGGTGACATATGGACAGTTAACCAAGGTGACATATGGACAATTAACTAAGGTGACACATGAAAAGTTAACTGAGGTGACACATGGACAGTTAACTGAGGTGACATATGGACAGTTAACCAAGGTGACATATGGACAATTAACTAAGGTGACACATGAAAAGTTAACTGAGGTGACACATGGACAGTTAACTGAGGTGACATATGGACAGTTAACCAAAGTGAAGCATGAACAGTTAACCAAGATGACATATGAACAGTTAACCAAGGTGACATATGAAAAGTTAACTGAGGTGACACATGGACAGTTAACTGAGGTGACATATGGACAGTTAACCAAGGTGACATATGGACAATTAACTAAGGTGACACATGAAAAGTTAACTGAGGTGACACATGGACAGTTAACTGAGGCGACATATGGACAGTTAACCAAGGTGACACATGAACAGTTAACCATGATGACATATGGACAGTTAACCAAGGTGACACATGAAAAGTTAACTGAGGTGACACATGGACAGTTAACTGAGGTGACATATGGACAGTTAACCAAGGTGACACATGAACAGTTAACCATGATGACATATGGACAGTTAACTGAGGTGACACATGGACAGTTAACTGAGGTGACATATGGACAGTTAACCAAGGTGACACATGAACAGTTAACCATGATGACATATGGACAGTTAACTAAGGTGGCACATGGAGAGTCAGTGAAAACAGGGTGCACACTTGAAGAGTCTCTCTAGGAGTACCAGTGGAAAACTGCTGCTATTTATCTTTAAAAATCAAATATAATCATGGCTCCAGAGTTAATTTGGAAATAAATGGATGTAGATCCAAAGACAAGTGTTGAGGCTGATCTGCGACCTGTAGGCCCTCTGACTTGTGCAATAAATCGCCTTTAAAAGATTAACATCTCCTCAGGGTTTGGCTCAATATCAAGGTCTCTGAGGTTAATAGTCTAAAAGTAAAACTAATAATGGGATGTAATTATTTAGCGGAAAGACAAGGACTTATAGCTGGAGTAAAGCTGTAGTAACCCTAAAAACCTTGATGTGAGTACAGCTGTAGTAACCATAAAAACCTTGATGTGAGTACAGCTGTAGTAACAATAAAAACCTTGATGTGAGTACAGCTGTAGTAACAATGAAATGACTTGGCTCGAGTAACAGCTGTAGTAACAATGAAATGACTTGGCTCGAGTACAGCTGTAGTAACAATGAAATGCCTTGACATGAGTACAGCTGTAGTAACCATAAAAACCTTGACGTGAGTACAGCTGTAGTAACCATAAAAACCTTGATGTGAGTACAGCTGTAGTAACCATAAAAACCTTGATGTGAGTACAGCTGTAGTAACAATGAAATGCCTTGATGTGAGTACAGCTGTAGTAACAATAAAAACTTTGATGTGAGTACAGCTGTAGTAACCATAAAAACCTTGATGTGAGTACAGCTGTAGTAACCATAAAAACCTTGACGTGAGTACAGCTGTAGTAACAATAAAAACTTTGATGTGAGTACAGCTGTAGTAACCATAAAAACCTTGATGTGAGTACAGCTGTAGTAACAATAAAAACCTTGATGTGAGTACAGTTGTAGTAACAATAAAAACCTTGACGTGAGTACAGCTGTAGTAACAAAAACTTTGATGTGAGTACAGCTGTAGTAACCATAAAAACCTTGATGTGAGTACAGCTGTAGTAACAATAAAAACCTTGATGTGAGTACAGTTGTAGTAACAATAAAAACCTTGATGTGAGTACAGCTGTAGTAACCATAAAAACCTTGATGTGAGTACAGCTGTAGTAACAATAAAAACCTTGATGTGAGTACAGTTGTAGTAACAATAAAAACCTTGATGTGAGTACAGCTGTTGTAACCATAAAAACCTTGATGTGAGTACAGTTGTAGTAACAATAAAAACCTTGATGTGAGTACAGCTGTAGTAACAATAAAAACTTTGATGTGAGTACAGCTGTAGTAACAATAAAAACCTTGATGTGAGTACAGCTGTAGTAACAATGAAATGACGATGTGAGTACAGCTGTAGTAACAATGAAATGCCTTGACATGAGTACAGCTGTAGTAACCATAAAAACCTTGACGTGAGTACAGCTGTAGTAGCAATAAAAACTTTGATGTGAGTACAGCTGTAGTAACAATGAAAACCTTGACGTGAGTACAGCTGTAGTAACAATAAAAACCTTGATGTGAGTACAGCTGTAGTAACAATGAAATGCCTTGACATGAGTACAGCTGTAGTAACAATGAAAACCTTGACGTGAGTACAGCTGTAGTAACAATAAAAACCTTGATGTGAGTACAGCTGTAGTAACAATGAAATGCCTTGACGTGAGTACAGCTGTAGTAACTATAAAAACCTTGACGTGAGTACAGCTGTAGTAACAATGAAAACCTTGACTTGAGTACAGCTGTAGTAACCATAAAAACCTTGATGTGAGTACAGCTGTAGTAACAATGAAATGACTTGATGTGAGTACAGCTGTAGTAACAATGAAATGACGATGTGAGTACAGCTGTAGTAACAATGAAATGACGATGTGAGTACAGCTGTAGTAACAATGAAATGCCTTGATGCAAGTACAGCTGTAGTAACAATGAAATGACTTGACTCACTTTCAGCTTGTTTGTTGACAACAAGTCCAGCATTCTCTCCACCACCCACATGTTCAACACTGTCATCTAGGCCCAAGTCTAACTTCTTTCTCTTCTCAATACGGATTTGTGTTGTTTTCCCCTTCTTGGATGGGGTCATGACAATTTCTGGAGGAAAGCAAAAGAAATATAAAATCTTAATTAATTCTTGAATAAACATCATTTTCATAATAATCACACTGAAAGAAGGAATGGGGGGGGGGGGGGGGTGTGTCAATATTGAAGGCACTAATCATGGACAAGAATTTACATGACAAAATAGCTTGTAAAGATTATACTGTTTCATTTCCGGGAATTAAAGATCAGAATGTATCATCCCCGGGAAGTAAAGATCAGAATGTTTCATCCCCGGGAAGTAAAGATCAGAATGTTTCATCCCCGGGAAGTAAAGATCAGAATGTATCATCCCCGGGAAGTAAAGATCAGAATGTTTCATCCCCGGGAAGTAAAGATTAGAATGTTTCATCCCCGGGAAGTAAAGATTAGAATGTTTCATCCCCGGGAAGTAAAGATCAGAATGTTTCATCCCCGGGAAGTAAAGATCAGAATGTTTCATCCCCGGGAAGTAAAGATCAGAATGTTTCATCCCTGGGAAGTAAAGATTAGAATGTTTCATCCCCGGGAAGTAAAGATTAGAATGTTTCATCCCCGGGAAGTAAAGATTAGAATGTTTCATCCCCGGGAAGTAAAGATCAGAATGTTTCATCCCTAGGAAGTAAAGATCAGAATGTTTCATCCCTAGGAAGTAAAGATCAGAATGTTTCATCCCCGGGAAGTAAAGATCAGAATGTTTCATCCCCGGGGAGTAAAGATTAGAATGTATCATCCCCGGGAAGTAAAGATCAGAATGTTTCATCCCCATACTTTCGAGTTTAAAGTAAATGTATTGGTTATCTATTGGTTAATTACAAAGGTTTGCTTTGTCAAATAATTGAGTTAATTTTACAGGTTGAACAGAAAATATAAGGCAGGAGTTCTATTTGTAATAAATGACCTTGTAAGTAATGTTATAAAGCTGATAAACAGTTCATTATTACCTTCCTTTGGTTCAGCCATCCTGACTCTGCTTCTCTCTGGAAAAGGTATCAAAACAAATTAATCAATGTCAAACAACCTGGCAATACAAAATAATATTGACCAGAAATACAACAGAATTTCTTGGTATAAGATATATTATCATTTTGTGAAAGTTCTGAGTGAAAGTTCTGAGGTGAAATGACATCATTCAGACTTCTGAAAAAAGTACAAAACTGAGACATTTTTGCAATGTAAATACAATATATGTAACTTTTACAAACACTTCTTACCTTTCAGATCACTATTAATATGCTTTCACAGTAAATTCTAATGTTTTGTAGGTACTTTTCACAGGTCTTTTAATATTCATTGCATAAAATTCACCAGAGACAAAATATGACTACTTGTGTTAGGGGTGATTCAAATGACCTCTTCTACACTGCGTATAGTGTAGTTCTGTTGCTCGAAGCATCATAACTTTGTTTAGAGTGCAATTTTCTCTGGCAGGCAGGCATATGGTCCTTCACTCTTGACTTTTGATGTTGTAACTTACATATTATTTCTTGTGATAGGCCTAACTAGCTATTTCGTGCCAAGCACTTGCTTTTTCTAGTGTTTATAAAGTTTGAAACAAAACAAAAATATCACAACTTAATACTTTTACAAAGTGAAAAAGAAATTATCAACGATACTACTTATCGAGTCCAAAACTAACAATGTTGCAATTTAACTTTGTATTATTTTGTACTAAAATTACAACAAAAGGTTAAAAGAAAATGATGATCATTTCAATGGGAACTACAGTATTCAGAATTTGTTCCTTTTCCAAATCTATGTATATCAGGTAAAAAAGGAGATCATTTATGTGAGAGATACACAAATTAGATAATCGACCGACAGACTCTAAATACATGCACTGTACATACAGTATGCCCTGTCCGTGCGACCCTACAACTGACGGTGCATTATTACAACTTCGAGGACATCGGGACAAAAAATCGCTCCCTCAAATATTCCAAATCATGACTAAATCTCAACATTTAAAAATCCTATGGAAACATGAACAATATCCTTCAGGTAATAGTACAGACCATCTAATTATAACAGGCCGGAACTCCCCGGAAACCCGGCCTATGAATCATAAACCGTGCCCTCATTTTCCCACTAGCTTTTTTTTATCAAGTAGCAAACGAGAGATTGCGTGCAACATCGATTTGGTTTGTTTTGTATCACTTACAAATGTTGTGATCGAAAAAGAACCAGTCTTTCTATCTCTCTTCTCCTCAGCCAAAATATCAACAGGTCTTGCAATCTTAGTGAACGTTATGATTACTTTGCCGCCATATTACATTCCTACACGGCGCATGCCCAAAGGCAATCAAGTTATACCACACCTGTATGGTGATCAGTAGGTGCAACACACACAAACATTGCTCTACAATTATTGTACACCGTATCAGCGCTTCAGTGGACCATACCGCGGGCGTTGTAAATTTTGTAGATAATCATATATACTGCACCTTATGACAATGCTGCTTATTTCATTATGGTGCTTGTACGGGCATAAATATTACAACCGCCCCACGTGCACCCTATGATTAGCAATATAACCGCTTTATATACGTCTTTGCCCCCAACCAACCGAGTGCAGCAACCTCCTTCTCCACCCCATCCCTTTGAGTATATAAGCCAGTGTTCTAACTTCCTTGGAAAGTATACGGTCTATACATGAACACCGTTATATATAGTTCAATTTGTTATCAAGAAGGAATCTAAATAACTACGAAAAAATGTATTGGACACAGTTACAATGTAATTGTAAATGCACGAAGTATGTATTTGACACGAGGAAATGACTCTTGTTTTTTTTTTTTTTTTAATTTTCACTGGTCGTAAATATTCAAGCACAAAATTGTTGGTATTTGTACGCGAGAATCTTCAATAAATACATACACATATGTATTTCGATGTGTAAATCCAGGGACGTAGATAACTGTTAACTACGTCCCTGGCAAATCAAACCCCTTATTTTTACATCTTTTTTTTTTAAAAAATCATTTAGTACATTTCGAAAATCATGAACATCGACATTCAAATGATGAAATTTAAAGACGGATTTTTTTGAGGATCTCATTAAAGTTTGAATCATCATCGGTAATCCAGGGTCAACTCTAAGTGGACTAGAGGGGGAAACCTGACTAATCACAGACTGGTACGCTCCTCTGAAGATTATAAAAGAGCGAAACTCGTGAAGCCAATACAACACATCGTTATGTGACCTCTTGATTTGTTTGAGGTACATCAAATAATTAAATTATCTTCTCATCCTATCCACAAGATGTCGCGCATGTTTCAGGAGTGTAGAGAGCGATAGTGAGCGTAACCCCAGCAGCATTTAATATATTATCGCGCGATCAAATCACATTGTCAAAAAATAGTTTGGGTTGAAGTAAACATGAGATAGATTATCGAAAATTTGTCGAGCATGATTTTTTCCGTATATATATATGTATGAACAGTGTAAGGGAGACAACTCTTAATCAGAAAAAAACTGAAACAAAGTACACTTTTTTTATTTGACTCAATTCTTTTCTCGTCATTTCTCTGTTATAACTGTGAAGCTGAGTTCTATACATTCTTAGTAGAACAATATGTCTTCTCCAGCCGGGAACAATGTGTACGGGTTGTATACATAAATGTTCTCACTTTAGGGTAAATGACAAGTCTTCATAATTGAAGTTCGAATGTCTGATGCTCAATGAAAAAGAAATGTGAGTATTGTGAACATGTGGTATAAGTTGATGGTAGAGTTGGTTTTTGGTAAATGGAAACTCAATCACTGTGCTGACAGAAACAATGTGGATTGATGGATGACTGTGTATACATTTCAGTATCATACAGCCCCCCTTTTCCAATAGATCATTATGCCAACAGTATCAATTCTGTTTGATATTGATAGTACAAGGTTTCTCAACTTAAGTACATTTAAACTATGACATAGTATTTTTTATCTATATTGCGCAATAAAAGGAGAAAATAAAATAATTAATTGACCATTTATTGATAAATCAATACACGTACAATTAGCGTATATTACATATAATTAAACCCAATAGCATCAAATTCGTTATATTTCAAAGCAAAGTTGCCACTTAGTCCATTATCATTCTCCTTAAAACACCCACCATGAGTCAATTGTACATTTAAGGGCCCAGAACGTTTTGCTGGAATATTTAAATATTGGTTTAAGCTGTTGAATTGTGATAATTGTATATCGAATGAAGTATATCAGTTTATGCTGAAAGAAACGGAAATAGATAACCCAAAGCAAACATGGTTGTTCTTTGTAAAGCAGAAATTATTCGAACTTGGTTTAGGCTACATCTGGATCAGGCAAACTCCTTCCGATATCATCCTATTATCATCAATTAAGCAACGCATAGACGATCAGGCTAAACAAAATATATTTAATTCTCTTAATATGTCTAGTAAATGTGATCTCATTGTAGATGATTTGTCACTTAAGTTTTATTTAACAAAACAGCGCAGAATTGTTATCTCTAAACTTCATTTATCAACTCATAACCTAGCTATAGAAACTGGTAGATATAATAAATACTGATAGGAATAAGAGACTTTGTAATAATTGTGACCTATTAGAAGTAGAAGATGAATTCCATTTTATTTTTACCTGTCCCATACATTTCGATCTTAGGAGAAAATACATTAAAAATATTACTGGTATAAGCCATCTGTTTTCAAAGTTACAGAATTATTGAACACACATGATTTGAAAGATTTGAATTTACTGGGCAAATACATTATTATCTGATTATTAATTACAGTTACAGTGTACATTTCTTTTTTCTTATGATTTTTGATGTTGTTGTTGATGATGATGATGATGATGATGATGATGATGATGATGATGATGATGATGATGATGATGATGATGATTGATGATGATGATGATGATGATGATGATGATGATGATGATGATGATGATGATGATGATGATGATGATATTATGGTGATGATGATGATGATGATGAGGATGATATTATGGTGATGATGGTGATGATGATGATGATGATGGTGATGATGATGATGATGATGATGATGATGATGATTTTGATGATGTTGTTGATATTAAGATGATGATGACGTTGATGATGATGTTGATGACGACGATGATGTTATTATAATGATGAGATGATGATGATGATGATGATGATGATGATGATGATGTTGATGATGATGATGTTTGTTAGTGATATGATGACGATGATAGAATGTTGTAGATGTAGTTGGATGATGATGATGATGGTGATGATGATGATGATGATGATATAATGATGTAGATGCAGTTGGGTTGTCGGTACGTCTCATCATCAGGTATTAATGAAAATTATTGTAACAATGAAAATGACTGTTTGTGTCTAAATAGTGTGTATGATGTTTTTCCAGTGTTTGTACTATGTATTATGTATAGTATCATGTGTGTTATTATATGTTATCGATAAGTTGTATAACTTAAGGAAATAAATTTGATTGAATATCGAAGTCTGCCTATCACAAAGTTCACCAAAAAGTCCATCTGTATTATAATACTGAAGGGAAGAGTTTAATATAAACACAATAGTGAAATTAATCTTGTGATTAATGATGAGATTAATGTTATGATAAATTATGGAATTAATGTTAAAATTAATAGTATGATTAATGCAATTAATGGTGTAAGTAATGATGAGATTAACGAAAGGATTAATGAAATTAATGATGAGATTAATAGTATCTTTAATGAAGGAATTAATGGTGTTATTAATGAAGGGATTAAGGAATGGATTAATGAAATTAATGATGAGATTAATAGTATCTTTAATGAAGGAATTAATGGTGTTATTAATGAAGGGATTAAGGAAAGGATTAATGAAATTAATGATGAGATTAATAGTATCTTTAATGAAGGAATTAATGGTGTTATTAATGAAGGGATTAAGGAATGGATTAATGAAATTAATGATGAGATTAATAGTATCTTTAATGAAGGAATTAATGGTGTTATTAATGAAGGGATTAAGGAAAGGATTAATGATGAGATCAATGTAATGATGTATGTTTGATAAGAATAGTGGTGTAAATTATGATGAGATAAATGATGTGATTAATTATAAGAGTAATTGTATGACTAATGAGATTATTGGTGTATAAGATTAATAGATTAATGACGTGTTAATGAAGGAATTAATGGTATAATTGATGAGATTAATGATGTAAACAATAGCAGGCTTAATGGTAGGATTCATGATGAATTTAATGCTAAGAACAATGATTACATTTATGGTGTAAGTAATTATGAGATCAATAATGTAATTAATGGTAGGATTAATGATGAGATTAAAGATGAGATAAATGATAAGATCAATCGTGTAAGTAATTATGAGATCAATAATGTAATTAATGGTAGGATTAATGATGAGATTAAAGGTGTTATAAATGATAAGATTAATGGTGTAAGTAATTATGAGATCAATAATGTAATTAATGGTAGGATTAATGATGAGATTAAAGATGAGATAAATGATAAGATTAATGGTGTAAGTAATGATGAGATCAATAATGTAATTAATAGTAGGATTAATGATGAGATTAAATTTGTTATAAATGATAAGATTAATGGTGTAAGTAATAATGAGATTAATGACATAATTAATTATGGTTTGTGTATCAAATTGTATTAATGAATAATTTTGTACACACCTTGATTTTAAACTAGCTTATGTGAATTATATATGGTTTTCATTGTATACCTGCTCTGGGACACTGCCTTCAAAATGCAGGTTTACAATTTGCTGAAGAATGACCGCTTATTGATCGTATACAACCAAGATAAAATCAGCTTATGTGAAATATATATGGTTTTCATTGTTTACCTGCTCTGAGACACTGCCTTCTAAATGCAGGTTTACAATTTGCTGAAGAATGACCGCTTATTGATCGTATACATCGAAGATAAAACTACGTCAGAGAAAACACAATCACGTTGTAAGATTTAAAAGAGCAATGGTTTTTGTTAATACAAAGAGCAATACATGATTTAGAAATAGTTATCTGATCGTTTCGTTTGGAAACACAAAGATTAAAACACACCACAAACCTGTGTTCATTATAACACATCCACCTTTACACATTGTTCGCGAGAGAAGTGTATGAAGTTGTTCAGAAAATTGTTTACACGAGTGACATTGCAAGATTGTCTTTTTTTGTGAAAGGCTGGCCCGATAACAAACAAATGCAATAGCATTTTCAAAATAATAAGACACCATATGAGAAACAGTGCATTTCTTACAATTTTATCAGTAGGTACGGTTCAGAATATACACATGTACTCGACGTTGTCCTAAAATTATCTGATATATGAGAATTACAAAATTTATTCAATCATGAATCTAGTGCACCTCCCAGTGTAGATTTTGACTTTTGTTTCGAATACTCCACAGACTTTTAAAAATCAGTTCTTTAGCATCACTGAGCAGTCTAGAAGGACGAAACATCTGTATGATGTAGCATCACTGAGGAGTTCTAGAAGGACGAAACATATGTATGATGTAGCATCACTGAGGAGTTCTAGAAGGACGAAACAGCTGTATGATGTAGCATCACTGAGGAGTTCTAGAAGGACGAAACAGCTGTATGATGTAGCATCACTGAGGAGTTCTAGAAGGACGAAACAGCTGTATGATGTAGCATCACTGAGGAGTTCTAGAAGGACGAAACAGCTGTATGATGTAGCATCACTGAGGAGTTCTAGAAGGACGAAACATCTGTATGATGTAGCATCACTGAGGAGTCCTAGAGGACGAAACAGTTGTATGATGTAGCATCACTGAGGAGTTCTAGAAGGACGAAACATCTGTATGATGTAGCATCACTGAGGAGTTCTAGAAGGACGAAACAGCTGTATGATGTAGCATCACTGAGGAGTTCTAGAAGGACGAAACAGCTGTATGATGTAGCATCACTGAGGAGTTCTAGAAGGACGAAACAGCTGTATGATGTAGCATCACTGAGGAGTTCTAGAAGGACGAAACAGCTGTATGATGTAGCATCACTGAGGAGTTCTAGAAGGACGAAACAGCTGTATGATGTAGCATCACTGAGGAGTTCTAGAAGGACGAAACAGCTGTATGATAGTTTGCGTCATTGTTTAACTCTACTGAATCTAACTCTGAATCAGTAGTTAAAGGAGCTTTTGACATGTACAAAGGCCTCGTATGTCATTTGTGCATTCCTTGATTTCTTTTTGATTTGGCGATTCCTTAGTATTTCTTGTCTTTTTTTAAAAATTTCTAACGTTCAGCATTGTGGCAGTGTAACGACTGGTTGCCTGTTGTCAGTATAATGTGACTGGATGAGGTCCCTGTTAGGCATCCTCCTAAGAACATATCCACTCACCCCCCATACATCGGAAGATGAACATGGCTCGTGGTAGGACGTTATAGATAATAATCCAAATTAAACAGTTTTTGTTTTTCCTTTTTGTTTGGTATCACTTTACCGTGTTTTTTCCCTTGTGTTCTTACGTCTCACAAGTTATTTTTTGTCCTTTGTTTTGTTGTCGCCACAATATTATTTATCAGTGGTGTCCTCTCAGTTGTAATTTTTGTTGTTAACATCCCTACAGAGCTTGTCAATTCCGTTTAATTGATGGTGTTGACCTTAGACTTTCACCTTTTTGCCGTATTGCATTAATTGTCCACACGGTAACATTGGTATTTATCCTTTATTACTGTAACACGTTTTCATAGGAATCCGTGATAAATTCAATATCAATCGTCTTTATCATAGTTAATAACACAGTATTTCTGTTACGGTTACCTCACTGATACCTTACAGTTTGGATACAAACTCTGATAATTGTATGGTAACAGTTCCTAACGACAAGAGCAGACTGTCGGAAGGGAGAGAGGTCACGTGAATCGTTAAACCATTAAACGAGGAATTCTATTAATAGAGGAATATTTGGTGGTTTTCTCTTCATGACTCTTCCCATTCAAATTTCAAGTTGTCTGGAAAAAGTGTAGTGTATCTATGAAACTACCATAAAAAACCACACACCAACAGATACAATAAATATGGCAACAAGGCAAAAGAAAAACATACACATAACCGAAAGTGGAGAAATGAAAATATGAGTGCAACATATGAACTACAAAATCCATCGGTTAGATTTAAAACCAGAACTTCACAAGTAGTTTAACAATAGTGGTAACAGTATTACACAAGTCCTAGTTTACTTGAAAGGGAAATCTGAAAATGTAATTAATTCAATAACCGTTTGGAGGTCACGCCCCTACAATTATGCGATATATGACTTACACCAAAATGAACTTATCGGATGTCGGTGATATTCACGAGTGAATGAACGAGATGATAGAGAAGGAGCAATGTTGTTAACATATTTTGTATTAGGGTTGAACTTTCTGATACAATAACTTCATTCAAAATAATAAACTACAAAGTGAACAACTAGAAACACGGTTTTATAAGTAATCGCACAGCATTAGTGTTTAACATGTCCTATGAATGTCTGGAGAAATTGGATTTTTCTATAGCTTTTCATATGTATTAAAAAAATGTATGGGATTAAAACGATTGGTTGTGTATAACGTGCCTGACCATGACAGAATACACGTCAAATGAATATCCTGTAGATGCAGCCCAATATGAGTCCTTACCTAACAAAACATACAATTAGAATGTCACCAAATCCAATTACACATGTAAACTTATTTAGAATTCTTTTGTTACGCTGTCCTGCGATTCTCACAATCACATGTATAAATACAGAGTCGATGTATCTGTCAAAAGCATTAAATGATACCAATACAACAAGGAAGGGTCCTTGCCAACTAAAGGAACAAGGCATAAGGTAGGATTATCTTAAACATTGTATTCTGAATATAGCATATCTAGTAACAGTATTTGGGCAACAAAGTGAGTTGTGAGTTGGATAGAAATTCTACAACACAATCAGTAGTGGATTTAAGTGCGAGGTTTCAATGACTACACGGTCACCTTTAACCTTATTATAAAGGTGACCATATAGTTATCTAAGCGCCACAAAACATTTTCTACTGGTTGTTTTATTGAAAACTACTCTATCGACATCGCCAACCTAAAGAAAATACTCTAAATGTGTTTTTCATTCACAAAGATAATTGCATCGAATGTGAATATGTATAAATTTAATTTAACACTGATGCAAGTTTCAAGATCCAAGTACAAATCTATACATATTCTTTGTCTCATAAAGAAATCTTAATGATCACCCTGTAAAACCATTTCATTCTTTCATATATCCACACTCTTTACAATTGACCTATCTATCAAACTAGTTGATAGATTCTCGATGAATACATTAGTTCATCACCTTCTTCTTAATCTGGACTATTATAACATTAAAACATTAAAAATATAACAGGTCTCCACACTATTGCCAAATTATAATTAACCAAATCTGTCAGTGTTTAGATACTTAATTTAAGTCCCTCGTATAAAATAACACCATCTCACGAACCTTTCGGGAATAGCTTCTGAAAATAAGTGTGACCGTGCCAAAGATTTACATTAAAAACAACATCTGCTTTTGATGGAAATCCTTAAACGAATTTAAGTGTTCTATAATCATTTTGTTTTCATGGGGTCTCTTTTCCACAATTCAAAATTTTATAGGAAAAATGATATGACGGACTTTAGTTTTCTGTATTCAGTTCATTAATAGGGGGTCTCTTTTCCATAATTCAAAATTTTATAGGACGTATTTTACACGGAAAAATGATATGACGGAATTTAGTTTTCTGTATTCGATTCATTAATAGGGGGTCTCTTTTCCATAATTCAAAATTTTATAGGACGTATTTTACACGGAAAAATGATATGACGGAATTTAGTTTCATGTATTCAATTCATTATTAGGGGGTCTCTTTTCCATAATTTGTAATTCAACAACAATTATTTTGCAAGGGAACATAAAACGACACATTAAAGTTTTCTGTTTTTATTTTCATGGAGTCCCTTTTCTACCGTTTTAAAAATTTACAAGATGTATTAAGATGGGAGCATAAAAACGGATATACAATGTAGTGTTCTGTATTTACTTGATTTTCGTTGGTTCTCTTGTCCACAATTTTAAATTGAATCCTCGAAAACAGCAAAAACTAAGACCTCATTAAACATAACCTTTACAATGACATAAGCTTATTCGTTATTTTTTCTCCGTGTATCAGTCCAAGTGATGAATGGAATATCTGCTGAAGTAGGAGGCGGACAAGAACTTATGGTAAGGAAAATGGATAATGATGTGTGTGACACCCAATGGGAAAAACTGGGAGCTTGGTTTATAGGACCCACAGCTGAAAATCTAGACGAGTTCTGCGACCTCGCCATTGAATCGATTCGTCAAAATGTCAAACCACAAAACTACTTTTCAAATGACCGTGAGATGATCACAAATGAGGTGAAATCATCTACAACTTACAAGAAGGAAATGGCTAAACTAAAATTGGAATTGAAGGGTCTCAATGTCGCACTTACAGAATCTATTCCATACTCCAGTGTCAGATATCAGGTAAGCCTTTCGTTATACAACGGCAACAACAGCAACCACAAAAGAAGAACTTCAAAGTAAATAAGTAATATTAAGTACAAAATCGTGCATTGAATTAAGTCATACAGATTCATTTTGCAATTACACGATATGAATAGTATGAAGCATAAAGTAAATACCCACAAAGGCTTGAGTACATATATATGTAGATTTAAATGTACAAGCCCGATTCACTGCTGGGAGTGTATTTATGACGTATACATATTTAGCGTTAAACGGCAATAACTGCATTAATATTCAATGAATATAAACAAATGTTTTTTTTTATATAATCACCTCCAAACAGATATGCAATTATCATCCTTGGCCGGGGTGAATATCGACACTATTTAAACATAGAAATTATTGTTATTGTCAGAAAAAACATATTTACATGTACATGTTTAACTTCATATCAGAATCTCGGTCGGTTTCACCATAGTATCTCTCATATTTTACCAGGGTCACATGGTGTCTGAGACAACGCTACCTGCAAAGTTGGGTTACCTCGCCGCATGGATGACAAACGCGAATAATGCAGCTAGCGAGCTCGGACCAGTCACAACTCGACTCGAAATAGAGGTAGGAAAACAATTGTGCGAAATGATTGGCTTTGAGTCGACATGCCATCCATGGGGACACATTACCAATGGTGGATCCACTGCAAATTTGGAAGCCTTGTGGGCATCCAGGAATATCAAATTCTTCCCATTGGCCATACAAAAGGCCATTAAGGACGAGCGAGTGTTAGCCAGTGCAAGGGATCTAAGCGTGTATATTCCAAGGCTAGGAAGAAAGCAGAAAATAACAACCACATCCACATGGGATTTGCTTAATCTTGATCTTGATGACATTGTGGAATTACCCCATAATATTCAGCGTCAGACAGGAAAAGATGCAGCTGTTCTCAAAGATGTTCTGAACAAGTAAGATAATTCGATAGATGGCAAAACAGATTATGGTATAAGGAATTGAAATGAACTTTACGTTACGAAATCAATAAAGAGAGGAAAACATGGGTGGAGGGGATACCTTTTAGATTTTTTATTTATTATTATTTTTTTATTATGCAAACGTAGTAATAAGATAAGAACACATGTTCCTGTTTCCTAGATACACTCTGGCCAATGATGGTTTCGTCCAGTTTTATCTGCTGCACGGCTTAAGGACTGCACCTATAATTATAGCTTCAGCAGCAAATCATTTTTCATGGGGAAAGGCTGCAACTCTCGTCGGTGTTGGTGGCCGAAATCTCGTTTGTGTCCCCTTCGATCGAAATGCAAGGATGGATATTGTAGGTAAGATATTTATCATTTGAATAGGGGAAACTGACAACTGTAACAATAGATATATCTATATATGCTGTTATATGATTTCGTGATCCCGTTAAACCCTATTTCCGTCGCCGTCTATTATACCGAAGCAACATACACGTTCAAGATAATTGAACAACACTGCTTACAAGTAATTTCTGTTATTTGGACAAAATCCTAACTCGATATAGATAAAACAAGAACGAAATATGCTGTGAGGAACTACCCACATCAAGAAGGATTAGCGTCCTCTGTTCCACCCATGAAATTAAAACATTTCAGTCATTCCGGCGGACGTGGGAATGAGCTGTGAACGTGAGCTGTGTCGTCTCAAAAGGTTTTTGGTTATTTCACGTGCAAAAGCTGTGTCAATTCACATTGACTCAATGAAGAGTATGTCTCTCCATCTAAAGGTCCAATTTCAACACCATATTTCCTCTATTGTTTTTATAAAATTATAATTTTAGTGAATCATTAAAAAAATAAACATATCAATAAGGTAAATATTTTACAATCATGACTTCGAGTGAGGTCTGTCCCTGATTTACGAACCTGGTCTGAACAACAAACACCGAGGCCGAATGACAAATAGCAGTACTTCAAATACAAATATCATACCATCAGCTCAACTCCTTTCTCATTTCCAGTTTTAAACTGTAGTAATTGCACTATTAATATCAATTTAAAGTTATCAAATATTAAATTTGTATAAATCACGTCAGTGAATTCAGGCTATGTAATGTTGATTGTGCAAGAGCCATTTATTTGAAATGAAATATATGAATTGAATATGAAATTGTGTCTATTTTTGCATTTGTTTTTGAAGTACTCAACCTTTTAGTTCAAATCTTGACCTTGCCATGTGTCAATGACATTAAAACTGATTAATCTCGCCGTAAAATGTAGTGTAATAAAACATTCACGACAATATACATCGTTTTGATCGATTGATAATCAGTGCCCGGGATATTACCACGGTTTATATAAAGTAAGGTTTTATAACCTTTTTAAAATTTTTTTTTGGAACGAGGTCTGAAACAAATTTACTTTTCACTCTTAACGTAACATAGCTGCTCCAGTCAGGACTAGGAATTAGGACCGGTTATATAAGATTATTACTACTATAATTAAAGAACATTCTTATTTCCTGTTGACTGATTACACGAAAGTAGGATTTTCAATCAGAAATTCTGGATTAAGAGATGCAATTGAAATTAGATATCAGTATGAATTCAACTTTGACGCCATAGGTCCATTTGAATGTTAATGTATTGTCTATATTTATGTTCAATACTTCAGAAAGATTTCACGGGTGAAAAAATTGGTCCAATCATTGTTTCTTAAGATTGTCTTTATTCAATTTCTTCTTACTCGGAGTCCACGAGTCCTCGATAAATCATGCACTTAGCGAATAAAACGAACTAATGGAAAATGTTTTCGAAATTTACGAAAAAAATATTAATCTGGTAAGTATTATTTGAAATTTGAGATTTTCCATCAACAAAATATGTTCTTTCCAATTATAATGCATATCAATCTTTCTGATTAAATGTAATATAAAAGTGAGTGTTTTCTTTTCATAGCACGTGCATTGTCTTCATTAGTATTGCATCATTTGGCTACCTTAGTTTTTTATTTCTAAAACGCAAACGAAACAGTTGTCGACTAGTAACTCTAAACTTGCAATATTCTATGCCTAAGGTGATCAAATATCATAATTCATGTTTGAATGAATGCAGAGGTGTCTGCTTAACGTGTTGAAAGACATCATTGTATACATATTTAAAACTTTAAAAATATCTTTTGAGACGACCCCTAAAACGCTCACGTCCAAAGCTCATTCTCACATTCTTAAGGTTAATGGAAATTTCTAGTAGGAAGTAATGTTACGTTCGCAATTGAGCAAACGGTTAACAACAGTGAAGTAACCATGCATACTAGTTAAAGATCACGTCTATGTATAAACATATAGAATGGTATGTAAATACATATAGAAAGCATTTGCTTCTATATTATCTAGTGTCTTTTTGATACTTATCAGCATTACGTAAACTCTTGGATGAAAAGTTGGCAAAGAAGGTTCCAGTGATTGCAGTGATATGTGTGTTTGGTACTACAGAACACGGAGCCGTGGATCCTATTTCAGATGTCCTCAAGCTGAGAACAGAATACAGAAACAAGGCGAGTTTCATTTTTTGATCAATTTGAAATGGCTCTATGAGTTTCACAAAACAGACATGAAGCATTTCTGCACACAATTTTTTATTCTTGATTCGTTAATGTGTCCCTATCAAGCAGAGACCGAAGTCTTTCTGTAAGAACCAAATTTTGATATCAATCATCATACAGTCATACAATGTACCAAATTGAATATGGATCTACCCTGACGTCAACATATGACTTGAAGTTCCCGTAAAGTTCATTTCATCTGAGGTCGTTCGTCCATGAAATTAATCCAGCATTAGAACTTGACGTCAACGTTTCTCCTTATATTGATATCCTAGATTAGTAGTACGAACGCTTTTGATTTTGATTTCGCTGCTGAATTTGTTACATGTAACTTTAATTTTAAATGCAAAAATTTGTGAAAAGTATCTTCTTTAAAGACTCTTATTTCAAAGGAATTAAAAGTATTTTGTTTCACATTCTAAAATTTTAGGGCCTGAACTTCTACATACTAGCAGATGGGGCTTGGGGAGGTTACTTTGCCACACTTATAAGACAATCCCAGGGAGACGATCAGCCATTACCACCTTTTCCCATAAGTGACTACATACATGAGCAGTTGACCAAACTGAAGTATGTGGACACTGTGACTATTGACCCTCATAAGTCCGGATACTGTCCCTATCCGGCGGGGGGTTTGTGTTATAGGTACGACCAAAACGTGTTTATTGTTTCTGGTAAACTGTGTCACTAAATTCTGGTATTAATCTTTATCGATATGTACAATTTAAAGTCATCCTAAGTGTATGCATTGCTTTCAAAAGACGTTACATTTCGATTACATTGTGAATTCATTTACAGAAAAATAAAAAAAATAATAGATTTTTAATGAGAAGCGTACCCTGTTTTAGCCATATACAATGCGTAATAGATGCAATAATATCAACCTCTGCGATGAATGAATGGCTTTAAGTCATAGCTTGTGTTATGTCACCTAGAAACGGACATATGAAGTCATTTATCTCCTTTGCTACGGACATGGTGTTCATGGATGCAGATACGGTTTCCAACTGCAATGGAGTCGAGGCGTCAAAACCAGGCGCCGGGCCGGCTGGAGTTTACCTTACTCATAAGGTACCGTAAATATGAATAGTGGTACACATATCATGGAGTGAACGCAGAATACAAAATAGTTTCTCAAAGATAACGCTTAAACATCCCTATTGTTTTTCATTCTCATTTGGTGCTTCAAATGGACTCTTTGATATTGGAAATACAAGGGAATGAAATAATTGGTTTATGCCTCTTTCGGTATCAAAATCTCAGTTATATGTTTCTGAAAATTCCTTGGAAACAAAAAGAAGGAATGGATGCAGTAGTAATATTTTGTTTTATATTCGGGTGTTAAGGTAATTGGACTACACAGCTCAGGATATGGACGAATCCTTGGCCAGTCGATGCTCGGAGCTAAACTGTTCTATTGTGCCTGGATGACCGCCGCTAATTCTGACGACAACTTTGTGTGCGTTCCTTTGACACCAATCCCAGAAGACTTTGACTATGACGAGGAATCAGCGAAGACGTTTATCAGAGACAGAATCCTGAGTTCGTCCTATAAGGACCTTGTGACGGTAATAGAAATAGATTGATAATGGAAATCGAAAAATACACCATAGAAGATTTCACAAATAACACAAACAAGTGTGAAGCTCATTTCAATCATCAAAATAAAAGACTTTACAAATATAAGAATAATGAATTAAACGCAACAGTCCCGTCATATCAAGCCACGTCAATGACGAAAAGGGTCTGAAGAATAATACGCATCTATGGCGGACAAAAATGTATGTTATAAACCGCTACATTCGACAATGGACATCTTTTTTTCCATATATTAATATCTCGAACCTTTGAAAACAATATCTTGATTTTTTTTATACATTGAATGGAATCCAATCCTCATGATGAACAAGAACCGGATTTCTGATTCGCAACTAAAAATTGAACAGTATGATCACAATAGATCCCGAAACGGCACAACGCTCTCCACATTTCTTAAATGTCTGACATTATAATTGCAATAAAGAAAATTTTCAAAAACACAGCGAAACTGTACCTTTACTTATATATTAACTAAAACCAGTGATGATTCAATTTGCATTTTTGGTTGTTATTGGAATGTCAATACCATCAAAGTAGGACAGAAAGCGTAGATATTGCGGGGTCTTTGGCATCACTTGTGATTGGCAACCCACTTCAAACGAAAATTGCAAACACATATACTGATAGCGAGTTATTTCGATAGATTAAACATTGAGTAATCATTTGCACGTTTTTCTCTGTATGAAAGGATGCCGAGGTGATGCGTTTTCTGTCCGAGATTGGTCCGGATGTAGCAATAAACGCCTTTGCCGTGAACACGAAGGGAAACACCAGTGTTAACAAGTGCAACCGTCTCAACATGGCCGTCTTTGAAAAGTTGTCTCAGTCGGACCCCAGGCGAAAAACCATTCGTGACATACCATTGTTCCTTACAAAATCAAGACTTGCCCAAAAAGAATGCTTCAGGATATTGAAATCCTTCAAGACACGTCTCGGGGTAAATTCTACACACTAGAAAGGCTGTATTGACACTGTCTTTGTTGTGCTCAGAACTCTGTAGAAAACGTTTCATCGGATATTTAATTCTGTGTTGTTATTTGAATCTCATATAAATATTTTTCTGGAGAAAAACAAATCCTAACAAGCCTTGAAGTCATTATAATTTGGCCCACTGTACTCACTAATCACAACATAACTAAATGAATGCACTCGATCATCACAGGTTTCGGCTAACTCCAGTGGTGTGCTCACGTTTCTGAGGAATACCGTTACTAACCCCTGGACATCGGCTGACAACACGATACAAATGCTGGTACAACAGTTCCGAAAAGTGGTCATTCAGTGTATTGCAGAGGTGAGTTTGTTTTAATATATTTTTAATTGATCTTTTATAAACTGTCATGTTGTACCGCACCAAACCATCATTGGTATGGTTTACCAGATACCTATGTATCACTGACCTGGTTTACTTGGCTCATTTAAATATTAGCCCATTCTCACGTCTTGGCAACTGTGGCAACAATGATGAAAAACTACATAATCAACAACAATAAGAACACTCATATTCAACGCAATACTTTCAGCTCGAAACGCGCTTAATTAAGAAATATTGAACTTTTCTGTATCTGGTTTATTAACTAACCAAACACCACTTTTTCGGTTAAACAAATACTCGGACATCAAATCGACTACATCGCTTACTAGTCACCAAGACACCACTTTTCTGAATTTTCTATTATCTAAACACCACTAATCCAAATTACAAGTTATCCAGATGCCACTTATCCGGTTTAGAAAACATCCAGACAACATTCCACCAGCTTACTCGCTTACTAATCACAGTAACACCAGTTATCCGGATTACCAGCCATCCAGACACCACCTGTCCTTATTTTCTACTACTTAGTATCCAGTCACCACTTATTCATATTACAATCTATCCAGACACTGCTTTTGCGTATTTTTCACTATCCAGGCACAACTACAACTGTTGTCCCGATACCCAGTCATCACTACTACCGTTGTCTCGATATCTTAAGCATGCAAATATGTTGAAGAATTGAGACCACAATTTTCAGTACTTAACCATAGACTTAAATGATAAAAACTGAACTGATCTGTCTTTTCATACACAGCAATCATGCTTCATGATATATAACATTTTATAGTTATACAGTTCTATCATACCTATTTCAGATTGACGAGACTGAAAACAAAGCCGGTGAACAAACATACTGATAATGATGCCATGGACAAAAAGTGTTACTTGTATAAAAATCGACTAATGTCAACAGGACTATGTAAATAATAGTTTATTGTAATCAAGGGAATGAGTTTATGATTGAGGATTTTACTATTTTTCTCTCAAAATAATCTCGGTTTGTGGTTATATTTAACTTCTTGTCGAATGCTGAATAACTATATGCACAAAATATATAACACAATGTATAGATATGTACTTGGTTTCATTAATGAGGTCATCATAAATCCAGTTGATCCAGTTTTCATCTATTGTAAACAGGAAAATTTATATGCAAACCAAGTGGGTTTTATCTGAGGACTTAAATGGATTGTCCAGCAAATATTGTATAATCAGATTTATAACTTTTAGCATCGGTGTATTTCATTAGAGATTCTTTTTTAATTATTTGTACTTACAGTGGGTTAACTATAGATTGTTCGAAGTGCTCTAACAAAAATAATATGCAGTTGTGGGATCGTACAACGTTACACGGCGTACGCTTGATGCATATACTATAGGAATGCTGGGGAAAATGTGCTGTTGTTCTGTTGCACAGATGTGCGATCCTATCATGGTTGATATACATTTAGAAATGACTTATGAGTAAGTGAGGGATAGGGTTTATTTGCAAGATTACAGCTAAGTATATTTTGGAACATTTTGTTTAGGTTGGTAATGTAAATAGAATATACGTTCGTATGGCACAACCAGCAGAGTGTGATGTATCGATGACTACACAGTCACCTGAAATTGATGCCTTTATTCACTTTTTGCAAGTACATATATCATGTAACATTGCACGTAGGTGTTTTACACACATACAAAAATAGGGATGTAAATATTCTTTTTGAAAAAATATGTTTAAATATACACATATACATATGTTCCAGCTTAATGATATCCCATACAGACCAACTTCTTGTATGTTTCATAGAAAAATGAGTTCCCTCCTTAAGTCTATCACGTATTACCTGAAACTATTTCAGACAGTCCCAAACAATTCTCCATCACCATTGCCATTAATTGTATTGAGGTTATGAATTAATATTACTTCGACCGTTAAGCAATTATTACTTCGACAGTTTGGCGTAAATTAAAATAAAACAAAGTTTTCATATTGTGCTGAATGTAAAATGGATAAATTGTTTAGACTTATAGAGGCAAACCAACGGTTCTATCCTTTTCTGTCCATTTGGTAAAACACAAAACAAAAATTTGTCTTTGGGAATATGCCCCCTTTAGCCCCAATTAAACATTTTGGGGTCAACCAGGGTCAGTATGTGCATACCATGCATACCATAAAGTTACCATCATAAACATTTAATTCCAACAGAGTCTGATTCATTGCCATTGGAACCCTAAATCGTTTTCCAAAAGACCCTTCCATCCAGGATCCACGAAAAGTGTTTGATTCTACCATATTATTTTCGAAATGATTTTAATTAAACCGTCTGTCAATTTTAGCCCTTTCGACTCAACCAATCAAGTCCCAGGCATGTAAGGACTGTATAATTCACACTTCACCTTTGGACGTGGAAGGTTATTGTAAAATTTAATTGAAACTGATTAAGGAATTTAAGAGAAGCCTAAAATGTCAATAGTTAACGGAAGCACGACGGACAACGCCAGACAAAAAGGGGATCGCAATAAGTCACGTGAGAAGTTGTCTCGGGTAATCTTAAACATAGTATGTAAAGTAACTTAAATCATGCCTTCATTACTTTCATTTCAATAGAACATGCAATCATTCAGGACTGAAATGGGTTGCAACAATCTTAACTCTAATTAGATCTTTCAGAAAAAATTGTAAAAAATAATTTAAGCAACGAATCTGATCAAAGAATGGCAGAGATTCGTGCGATTTCTCTATTCACTTTTCTCGAAGCTAATGTCAGTTTTGATAATTTGACAAAATCATGTAATATAACATATACGTCTACTTGAAATGTTCTATATGACATATCAATGAAACTAAGCGTATGTTTATTTTT